CCAACCTCTTATTCTCAACACTTTAGCCAGTCATGCATCTCTCCACTGACTACTGTCCACTGAGGAAAAAACTTCTTTAGCCAAGGTTGAGAGCAGCACAAGTCTATAGGAATAAGCATAAATATTGTGAAGTAAATTTGATAATATGGCAATTCATAAAAATAATAATAGCATATTTGACCCTAGGACATATAATCTCCAAAGTTTTGGGACTTGACCAAGAATACAATATCAGCCATGAAATTTTTCCCTGTGTAGCAGACCTCAAATCTAATAAGAAAGCAATGTTTCCTTTGAAACAGTCATGCAAGTATTGCACCAGTGTGCAAGTCTTGCCTGGTAGGTCACTCTTGCAGCATTCGAGGTCCAGTGCTGGGAAGATAGATAATTGGTGTCTTGTTTTCCCCAGAACCCTAAATAACACCCCAAGGCATTGTGAAAGCTCAGCACCAGGGAGGACCTTTTTCCTCAGTTTGAGATTGGTTTTTTTTTTTTTTTTTTTTCTATGTCCTATATTCTGGTATCTTCAGCAATAGGAGCTTATTGTTTATCATAGTTGGTAATAAAGAACAATGGCACTAGCCTGTGTCTTTAAGAAATGCTGGAGCCCACCTGGTCAATGATTCATATGGATGTGTCCCATGACTTTTATTGTGGTTTTCATTTAATAACCCATGTCTTCTGGGAGGGATATTGTTTAAACATGTGAGATAATTCTGTCCTTTGAATTGCTTTTCAAAATTACCTTACTGACGAAGGATTTCATGAGCCTCTCCAAAGCTTTGGTACTGCGTAGCCCACCCCTAACCCCTCCTTTTCCCCACTCCTCTGTCCTCATCCCTTCTTAATCCTTTAATCTTCACTATTCCATCATCTCCATTTCTCTTCTTTTTCTCTTTTTTAAATATTTTTTCTTATTTTACATATTGATCCCAGTTCCCTCTCCCTCCCTCCATCCCTCCCATGCCCCACCACCACCCTCCCATCCCCCCCCCCACTCCACAGGGAGGGTGATGCCTTCTAGGAGGGATCAACAAAATCTGTCAAGTCATTTGGAGTAGGCCTCAGCCCTCTCTCCTGCCTCTAGGCTAAGAGAGTGTCCCTCCATGGGGAATGTGCTTCCAAAGTCCTTTTGTGCACAGGGATACATCCTGGTTCCACTGTCAGAGGTCGCTTAGACTGCCCAGGCCTTCTGACTGAGGCCCATGTGCAGGCGGTCTGAGTCAGTCCAATGCTGGTTTCCCAGCTTTCAGTCTGGGGGGGGGGGTCCATGAGCTCCCCCTTGTTCACAGGTCAGTTGTCTCTGTAGGTTTCTGTAGCCTGGTCTTGACCCCATTTTCTTATCACTCCTCCCTCTCTGCATCTGGATTCCAGGAGTTCTGCTCAGTGTTTAGCTGTGGGTGTCTGCTTCTGTTTCTATCAGCTACTAGATGAGGTCTCTATGATGGCAGATAAGTTAGTCATCAATCTCATTATCAGGGAAGGGCATTTAAGTCACCTTTCCGCTGTTGCTCAGATTGTTAGTTGGATCATCCTTGTAGGTCTCTGGACATTTCTCTATAGTCTGTTTTCTCTTCAAACTTATAATGGTTCCCTCTATTATGGGGCCTCTCTCTCTCTCTCTCTCTCTCTCTCTCTCTCTCTCTCTCTCTCTCTCTCTCTGCTCTCGTCTATTCCTCCCCTCAATCTTCCTAGAATCTTTCTAATCCCACATGCTCTCCTCCCTTCTCCCCTTTTCTTTACATATGTTCTACCATCCTTGCAATTATTTTTCACCGGCTGTGAGATGGTAGGCTTCCATGTGGCTTTTCATACCCCCTTCCATTAGGCAAGCCTTCCCTTCATCCCCTGACTTCCCTCATACTCCCACTCCCCTCCTTTGCTGTGCCCAGCCCCCCTCACTGCTTTAATTTGACCGATATTCTACTCTCCCTCCTCAATTAACAAGCCCCCACCAAAGGCCCCTTTCCAACTTCCTGGCAAAATTAAATACACAGAACAAAACGTTTGGAACTGAGGGTGTGTCTTTCTCTCTATCCAAGTTGCCTAACAGCATCTTACTTTATGTTCCCCCAGTTCCATCCATTCATCTCCAAATTTTGTGATTTCATTTGACTTGTAGCTGAGAAATATTCCATTGTGCATATATACCACATTTTTCATATCCATTCATCTGTTAATAGATATCCAGTTGATTATATTTCCTAGATAATGTAACTAGAGAACATTGGTGTGCCAGTGTCTCTGTACTAGGATATACATTTCATTTAGGTATATGTCTAGGAGTAATAAACCTGTAACAACATAGGATACATTTTTATTATTACTATTACAATTATTGTTATTATTATATAATCAGAGTTACTCATTTTATTTTGAGTGTCATGTCTGCATTTATGTGTGTGCATCAAATGCATGCCTTGTGTTTACAGAAGTCAGAAGAGGACGTGTGATCCCCTGGAACTGGAGTTAACTGTGGGTCTCTGTAAGAGCAACAAGTGCCTTTTAACTACTGAGCTATCTCTGCATTCCCTTTTAAGACAGCTCTTTCTAATTTTTAGGAAACATCCAGACTAATTTTCAAACTGGGTGCACTAGTTCACACTCTCAACAACAGCAAATATTAATTTCCCTTTACAGGGCTAAGAAAAAAAGTGGCCCATGGAGTAAGAGCATTTGTTGTTCTTGTGGAGGATCCAGTTTTGATTCCCAGGACCCACAGAGTGGCTCATAGCTCTTCATAACCTCAGTTCCAGGGGATACTCTGCAAGCAGGCAGCATGCCAGACATAGACATGCACATGGTGTAACATTCAATAAATAATTAAAAGAAAAGACTGTTCTTGAGTTAAATAAAATTAATTTAAAAAAGAAAAAAAGAGCTCCCGTTTTGCATATCTATACCAAAATTTGTTGTGATTTTTATTGATAATGACTGTTATTCAGCTTGGGATGAGAAAGTCTTAATGTGATTTTATTTTTCATTTCATTGTTTTCTAAGGGTGCTGAGTACTATGTTGTTTCTTAGCCATTTGAATTCTTCTCTTACGAATTTTCGGTTCCACCCATTGCCCATATTTTAGTGCTATTTATATTCTTAATGTTTAGGGGGATTTTTTTTTATTTATTTGTGTATTTCTGACACTTATCCTTCATCAGATAAGTAGCTGGCAAAAATTCTCTCCCATCCTGTCAGCTGTCTGTCAAGTCACATCTCAGTTTCCTTTGCTGTACAGTTTTTTAGTGACATGGGATGCCATTGTTGATTTGTGATATTACTTACTGTGCTGCCACAGATGTATTCAGAAAGTCCTTGCCTGTGTCTACAAGCTGAAATTTGGTAAATGAACAAAAAGATGGGCTTACCATTGATGTCTGAAACAAAGAAAAACGTCCACTCTCTCCACTTCTGTTCAACACAGTGCTTGAAACTGTAGCCAGAGCAATAAGACAAGAGAAGGATTTTTTTTTTAAGCATACAAATAGGGAAAGAAGAAATCTAGATATCCCTACTTGCAGATGATGTGATTCTTACTATGAAAGACTCCACTAAAAATCTCCCTTTGGAGATGGTAAATAATTTCAGCCAGTGACAGAATACAGATTAATGCAGAAAAATCGGCGACCTTCCTTTAAACCGAAAAATAAACCAGGGAAGCAGTCTCATCCACAAAGCCCACAAAACTGTAAATTACCTAGGAATAAAGAATACTTGTTTTGACCTCCTATCATTTATTTAACAAGCACACCCATTGCAAACATCTGCTCCATTGCATGGTTTCCTGCAAACACTTAAGAGTTTCTCCTGATCCTCTACTCCCTGATGAGAGCTCATCCAATGAGCACTCCCCCCCCCCCCAGTACACAGGTGGAGGTGCTAGAGCTAACACATTAGTGTCACATCTTATGTCTGCACATTTCTAACTGACCTGTGGGTCAGAGGTTGGAGGACCCACAACCATGGGATATTGGGAATGGTACAGCCAGTGTTTATCTGTTAGCCTCACTCCTTTATATCTACAGTCCGTAGACACTAACACTTTCCTGCTGAAATCCTTGAGAGGAAGAGAATATTTACTCTTGGCTCCATCTCACCCTCCACTGTAAACCACTGAACTACGTGTGCTTAGATAGCCATATGCTAAATTCACACACAGTACTAGATATTGCTTGAGGGTAGACCATTTCCTCTTGAGAAATCCTTGGGCTCTATTGTATTATACAAACAGGACTCATTTTTGCAAGTTCTGAGAAGTGATATATTAAAAAAGAAAATAGATTACATTATTGTACTCCAAAATTTCATTAAAGTTTATAGCAATTCCCAGTCATATTGGCACAAAACATTTTTAACACAAACCATCTTTGATAAATTACAGTGTATATATAGTCACAGAATTGGATAAAATAGTATAAGAGCGCCTTCTAAACTGACTGCACTTACTGCAAAACAGACCAGTTCAAATACCTGGAGGCCCCAGTCCTTCCAGCAAACAGCAGAAGGGCTGGTGTTTGGCCAGTCCAACTGCCTTCTGTTGCTTCGTATTCTTTAGTACCTTGTCTAAACATTTCATTTGTAGACACCCCACCCCAAAAAAACTCACCTATTTTGAATGGAACCCTCAGAAAACATAGGAGAGCCTTCGTGGTATATGCAGAATGTATGAAATTACAGGGCTGTTTATACAAGTCCCACATTTAAAACTAATATTCAGTATTCAAACACAACTTAGGATCAATTGTTGCTTATTTTCATACATTTCAAGTCGTTCTGCAAAAATCCTCAAATTGCAAGGTTTACCTTGGTCAGTGGGATGTATAAGGGATATCATACAGAAATGTCTTAGTTTAATATGGCGAAAGCTGAGAAATGGAGATTGCTACTGCCCATGTGAGGACTCTTCCTGGAGGAACTGATCCTGTTTTTCTGTGTTGTTCATTCCTGGTGCCAGGGAGCAGCAGTTAAGCTTAAGTCTCTCTCTGGTTTTCCTCCGCAGACAGCGTGGAAGATGAACTGGAAATGGCTACAGTCAGGCATCGGCCTGAAGCCCTGGAGTTGCTGGAAGCCCAGAGCAAATTCACCAAGAAAGAGCTTCAGATTCTCTACAGAGGATTTAAGAATGTAAGGACTTGCCTTTTGCCCTCACCTTTACCCAGTTCTCAGAGGATAACTAAAGAATGAGTGTGTGTCTGGGATGCCTGGGCTAGGGGTGGGGCACACCTTCCTGTGAAAGCCCAAAGTCTGAGGCCCCTCCTCATCTCTCCTCGATTTGAATACAGGCAGTGCCCACTGGGACTTTGATTGACTCTGACAAGCCAATGCTGGTAGAATTTAATTGACTGTTAGACAAAGATGGGTACTGAAAAGGATTGCCTTAATTAAATTCTTTTGTTGGGATTTGTTTTCTTCTTCGGGTGCCATGGGAGCTTTTCAATAAGCACTTCCTTTTTTTTTACTGCAAACTAGCGTATGCCTATAAAATATTATTGGAGGCCACAGAAAGGCCTCAAAACACACTGAAGATACATGTGAGTGGCAGAGGCAGAAGTCAGCAACAGGCTGTCTCTTTTCAGAGTCCATGTGAGGAAAGGCCAGAAAAGAAATTTGCAAAGCACTGTCAAAGAGCCAGGTGAAACCTAAATAAGGTTCTCAGCCTTTCTTTGGTCAGATGGAACATCAGTGAAGGAATAGCAGCAGGGACAAGAATGGATTTGGAGAAATACGATGTGAGGAAGAGAACTGATTGCAAAGAAGCTGATGTCCTTGTGGAATGGTTTTCTTTATGTTGTGTCTCCTCCGCCCTCCCTCCCTCCTTCTCTCCCTCTTTCCCTCTCTTCCTCTCTCTCTCTCTCTCTCTCTCTCTCTCTCTCTGTCTCCCGTGCGTGCGTGCGTGCGTGTGTGTGTGTGCGTGTGTGTGTGTGTGTGTATACCTTTACATGCATTTGTCCATCTGTGCACATGCATGGGCACCAGAGGTCAAGCTTGTGCTTCTTTTCTTGGGTGTATCCACATTGTTTTCTGAGACCAGGTCTAACTAGTGTAGAGCTTACCAAGGAGGACAGGCTCCTGGCCAGCAAGCTCGGATGTTCTCCTATGGTCGCTTTTCCCTGTGTTGGGATTACAGGCATGGATTATCACACCTATCATTTTCAACATGGATTCTGGGAATCAAACTCTGGTCCTCAGGGTTTCAAGCCAAGCAGTTTGCTGAGTCACCATCTTCCCAGCCCACCAAGCCACAAATCTCTGTGTGTGTGCGTATGAGTGTGTGTGTAGGGGGGGGGAGGGGGGAGAAAAAGAGAGACAGACAGAAAGAGAGAGAGTGGAGTATATGGCCCCCTCTTTCACTAAAGTATTTATTGTATATAATGTTCTGGGGGGGGAGAACACAAGGAATTGTGGGTCTAATTTGATAGAGAATTATCAATATCTGCTATTTATAATTCCTGTTTGGGGCAGCCTGAATATACATCTCTGGACAAAGATTAGTTGTTTAGAAGGTTAGACCTCCAGACTCTTCCTCAGTGTTTTGAACTCAAATTTGATTTCATCAAATGAATGACGATCAATTTTTCTTTGATTATTTCTTTTGGTCTGAGCTAGTTGCCAGTACTCATGTGGATGAATAATGCTCTCGACGTTAAAGGGGAAAAATATCCAATGCCTAACTTACAGATTGGAGCTTGTTAACTAACTCCATTTCTGGTACTTGGAAAAGTACTGTGTTTCATTATTTGTAGAAGGAACTACTGTCAATCAACCTGAACCCCAGGTACCAGTGGGTTGTCATGGAGCACAGTTGTCTTCGATCCTGATGTGCATGCGACCACATGCATCATCATCAAGAGTAGTGATAGCATGGGCACAGGAAAGGATCAGGCTAAAGCTCAATGTCACAGACTCTTTAAAGACTGGAGACAGCATGCTCTGTCTTTAAAGAAGTCATGGTCTGAGCAGCGTGTGAAGAAGCTTAGTGTCGAAACTCCAATTGAAAATATCATCCTCTAAACCACCGAGTGTTTATGCATACAATTGCATCTCAGCCCAACATATATTTTGATTTTATACATATCTAAACCGAGGGAAGTAGCAATAGGTATTCTTTGTGTGTGTGTGCTTTTCCACTGTTTTTAGCTTTACAGATTGGAATACAAGGTAGTTGTTTTCATTAGGATGCATGCTTTCACACATACTTTATTTTAGTCCTTGTCCTCTGCTCCCCTCCTCAACCCTCTGCCCCTCTCATGCTGGGCTGCGTCCAGCATGTGTATTCTATTGCCCTGTTTGTTTCTTTTAATCCCTGTCAACAATCATTCACAGCCCCTCTACCCTCTCACGTTCCCCTTTCCAGTTTCATGGCTTTTACTCCTCAACACATACACACACACACACAATTTATTAAAATCTATCATCTGTATACAGAAAAAAACATAAAGTAACTAACTTCTATCTAGGCTTGGGACACTTTCCTTAAGATAATAATTTCCAATTCCAACCATTTTGATGTAAATGTTATTTTCACTTTTTTACATCTACAACATTCTATTGTGTGTAGATCCCACATTCTCCTTAACCATCCCTCTGCTGGTACACAGGCTGCTTCCATCCCCTGAGTATTATGAATTGTTTAGCAGTAAACATGGGTATTCAAGTATCTCTGGGTTGACTTAAGAGTCCTTTATGTATATACCCAGGAAAGACATCTCTGGGCCAGATGGAAGTTCTATAATTAATACTTTGAGTAACCTCAATTTGTAAATTTTCAAAGTAACTCATGAAGTTTATGTTCCTATCACTATTAAGGAAGAGTTCTCTTTCCTCATATCCTTACCTAAATTTGTTATTGGTTGCTCTCTTGATGATATACATTACGAATGAGATGATATAGGGTTCTAATCTTTACTTCATTTCTGGCTAAGGATATAGAAAACATTTCATACATGTATCAGGGTTTATTTTGTGATGTTTTAAGAACTGCCAATTCAGTTCATTGGACCATTGATTGATTGATTGGAAGATCTGAAGTTTTTGTTATTGGATTTTGTAGTTCTTTATGTATTGTAGAGTAAGTTCATTTTTTGAAGTATAAATAGTACATATTATATTTTGTTCTGTGGTTTAATTCCTTACTCTGCTGGTAGTTTCCCTTGCTGCATAGAAACATTTTTAAAAATACAATCCTATTTATCAGTTTTTCTCTATCTCTCATCTATCTGTTACCATCATCATCTCTGTACATGTGTGTATGCATAAATGTATATGTGTGTATACATAAATGTGTGTGTGTGTGTACATGCATTGTATCCTTTATGGGTGTGATGCATGCACATCCATGTGTGGGTACACATGCCCATGCATGTGCATGAAATCGCCAAAGCAGGATGCCATGTGCTTTTCTGCAACATTATCACATTCCTCCACTGAGGCGTGCACCCTTTTGAACAGGTAGTTTGCCATTTTTTCTGCCTAGTCAGAAAGTTCTTGGAATCTGTCAATCTCTCCAACATTGGAGTTCCAAGCCCAAGAAGTCATGTCCAGCTTTCTACACGCTTGACTAGGATCATACGCAGGTCCTTATGCCAGCAGAGCAATCTTTCTTACTGTTTTTTCTATCTCCCCAGCACTCTTATTTGTCAATTCTGTAAGATAATTTCCTTTCTCATTGAGTCTTTTCTCAGAACATTCTTGCCTGTGCTTGTTCTAACTTATATATTAAGATGTTAGCTCTAATTCAAATTGAATTTTCAGGGTGAAACATTTAAATCTACTTTCACTCTTGGTATTTGGACATCAAGGATTTGTTGCTGTTGGTTTTGCTTTTAGTGATACTTTATGAATTCTCTGAGAGTTTCCTACAGTGCATTTTTATCACATTCATCCCAAGTCCAACTCTGCTCAGATCCACCTTTACTTCCCTCCCACTCAACATCAAGTCCTAGTCTTGATTTTTTTTTAACCCATTGTGTCCAATTTGTGTTTGCTGACACAAATTGGTGGAGGCTGACTAACTGTGGTCAACTTTCCAGGAGTCAATTAATTAAAGAATTGATCCTCCTTCCCTCAGAAGATTCCAAATGCTAATAGTTTTCAGCTAGGGACTGGACTTCGTGTTCACTTCTGCTCTCTACGATGAGATTTTGTTTGACTTGAGCATTCCATTATCTTGTACATGCTGTAACAATCATTTTGGATTCATATGCCCAGTTATTCTATTGTTATTGGACAACACTCTCTTCATAGTGACATACACCACCTCTGGCTCTTATGATTTTTTCCTACTTCTTCCTCAGAGATCCCTGATTCTTGTGGGGAGGTGTTTGAGATGTATAGCCCATATAGTGGAGCTTCTTATCTTTTTATGTTCAATTGAGGATCTCAGCTTCGCTAATAAGGGTGAAGACAATGTACTGGTTTAGGGATATATTGATGTCTTCAGGAGTTGTTTGAATACTATGCTCATGTACCATAATAGTAATAGTTGCTTCTCTCATATGGCCTGTGACCTATCTAAACAGATTCTTGGCATTGACAATGCCAGATATGGATTCAGTCTCACAGAGTAGGCCTTAGATACAACCACTAAATAGTTACTCCTATGACTTTAGACAATTAGAAGATAGTGTGAATATATTGTCAAGGCAGCTGTTGTAGCTTTCAGGTTTTACAAATGGGTAAGACCAACAAATATGTTTAACTCTGGCAATGTGTAAGGAACCATCCAACGCTAGGAAAACTAGCCAGTAGGAATAAATCTTATGGCTAAGTATAACATTCATTTTTTCCCATGTTCTGTGACTTAAGTATGTGGTGTCTTTATCGATGGGGTCTTATTGTAAAGTTCTGTAGTTTAACCAAGAGCACTGGTGACAGCTGAGCATCTATGGAAGCCCACAGGATAACAGCTCAAAAGAACCAGCTGGCCTGGTACTAGGGCTTTTGGTATTCAGTTTTCTCAACAACAACAACAGCAGTATTTATTGAAGAAGTACTCTTTTAAAATATTTGTTGGTATCTTTGCAAAAACAATTTTTAGCTGCGGCCTTGTGGTTTAACTTCTGGATCCTGTGTTCTATTCTGTGATAAACAAACCATGCACACACTAGTATGTGCAGGTATTCTTG